TTTCTGAGTTACTGAGACTGTCGAGTCTCTGAGTTACTGAGACTGTCGAGTCTCTGAGTTACTGAGACTATGTGTTCTACAAGACTACTATGTGTGACATCATTTATCATTGATTGTATTCACGCGTCTAACCTTGACAATTTCGATGTAAAACACTCAGGAAACTGGAACCCCTCTTCCTAGAATGGCCAAGTTGATCCTTCTTTTTCGTTATTTTTCATCATTTAGCGTGACTGTGAAATCTACCCGGCCAGCTTATTTAGTTTGTCAGGAATGTACATTTTTATCACAGAGGGACTGTGGTTTTATACTGTGTTTGAACACTGATGGCGGCAGCCTGCATCACGAAAGTTTATAGTCCACGACGTTTGGGGGCGCAAACTACTGGGAATACTGTAGAGGGGGTAATTATTCACTGGGTTTTAATTTAGCTTATTTCGCTGACTGGAAAAATGCGCTAAATTAAAACCCAGTGAATATGTAGAATTTAGCATAGAACACATTATCTAAATGACGAAACCGTGAATTTAAAACCCACTGAATATGCCCGAATTGGTAAATCAGTGAAATTTAAACCCAGTGAAAATTAGTCATTTTACAGTATTGCAAATGGCGGCGCCCATTAGAAACACGAGCGTGTGAAATTCGTCAAACATTTTAGCCGTTTAAACATACCATCATGCCCAGAAAAATTACCAACATACACCACCTGGTAGGAAACTTTTCTCCGTTTTCTAGGAATGAAATTTTCCAGAAATTCTTTTTTACTGGCAACAATTTATTCAACGTTTGCATGAAATGTCCAAAGTTTGGAATCGGCCGCATTGCAACACGACAAAGGTGGACGTTACTGTATCCGAACGAACCGTCTTACTTCCAGATTACACGCGTTAAAATAGACCCATCAAGAAAGGTGAGTGACGTGCAAGATGCAGATTTGTATGTTACTACACTTTAGTGTACATGAATGTGTGCAGCCGTGGTTTTGCGTCATTTTTGGTCCTGAGTTGGATTATCTCGAGTTGGGTTTCACACTCATTAGCCCTGAGTACAGTCCTGTAGGTTGGCCTCCTTCCGCTGATCATTTGGCCCCCACAGTCCTGAGAAGTCGCATAGAGCGGGGATTCGACACTATTGTGAAGGAATGTATCAGATGGTTTAAGAGGCATTCAGCTTTGCAGTTAAAACCTAAGAAGGTCGTCAAATCTAACTATTGTAAATACCTTAACTGGAAGCGAAATTACATTAGATTACCCACTAGGGTTGATCAAATCGACATTTTCCAACATCAACCTAAAGTATACGCCGCCATCTTGTTCTTGACGTATTTATTAACAAAACGTTGTTTCGTTGCGTAAAATTAGCTTTCGCCAACGTTCCAGTACTGTAGGTTCATTTTTCGGCCACAAAAAAGGTATTTGTGATCTCTAGATTGGTCGATAGATGTTTTAGCTGGTTACAATCATGAAATTTGCAGTACGGTTCTCCGCCATAAATTTGTAGGTGGGTGTCGAATCCTCGGTCTATGCCACTCCTCAGGCCTGTAGGGGCTGAATGATCAGCGGAAGGAGGCCAACCTACAGGACTGTACTCAGGGCTACACACTAATCAACTCTGTGCATCCACTCTTTACATAAATTAATTTGAATTGATACGCTTCTGAAATTGGAAATAGCACAGTAATCTCGTGACAGGAAGATTGTCCACACCAGATGGGGATGGGAATCGCAGCAGTCCAGGGCGCCTATGCCAACTTGTCAGGCTACCACAACGGGTAATTCTTGTACATCAGAATCAGTTAACACAGATGTAAAGTGATCATGAAAAGCATCGACAATGGTGATAGTTAAAATAAATATAAAATCATATGTATGTAACAAAAAACAATACATAAAATTAAATCGCAGTTCCTCCCCTGATAGAGGGACTGTGATTAAATATATAAAATAAACTGGATTGTGACACTGTACAAATACATCAGATTACCACAATATTCATAATTAAGAGTCCTCAGTCACCTTCTCGCCATGCATAAAGTTATTGGCAACTGATGCACTCCTGTATTTTGATTTGGTAGAATTCCCAAAATGCTTTGGATTATGCAAAACCCATTGTTCAATGTCAGATATGTACAGTAGTCCATAATTTAAAGTTTCACAATTTCTTAAAGGATGTTCATAAATTGACATATATTTTGCATTTGAATTTCCGCTTTCTTTCAATCTTTTTCAAGACAGATCAAGTCAGACATTGTCATACTAATTTTTAACAAATTGCATTTACCAGTATAACCACATAACATTTCTGTCGAATGCATCAATACGGCATCCCACCAATGCACTTCTTTGAGTTTGGGGAGATTTCTGATAAGATTTTACTTATTTTTATGTAATCTTGTAAATTCTGAGTTTTATGAGGTTAATATGGGAATATCGCAAAATGTGCATGGGGTCAGTACGGCGATTTATCATATCAGCCAACATGTAGCGATGTTTGAGCGTTTGCATTCAGTAACTGGTTTCTATTACTGTGGCACACTATAGCGTTTTTGCATCCTCAAAATGGGTGTATTATATCTGGGTTCCAAGAGAATGCCACTAATGAAAACTCAATTAAGAATTGTATGAAATATGCTAAATATGATGGTAGTATTTTCTTAACCTAAATTACCAACTCAATGTAGCACATATACTGAGATCAACTATATCATTGCACACTTAGTATAGGTTGGTAATGTATTTAATAATCAGAATTACATGTATGTCATTATACTGTTGATCTCTTTGTTTTCAGGATCTTGATGGAGGAAAAATATGGGGTGTGAAGACCTGGAGAGGTATGCATGCTGAAATTATTTGTAAACCTTTATTAGTATCTTCAGTCCAAATGAAATATTTGATGGTCTGAGTTTGTGCTTATTACGGGAAATATTTCTGAATCGTTCTATTTTCAATTTAGCAGCATTTTCATAGAACAAAATAAAATCCCACTAAAATATTGTCCATTTTCCAATAATTTTGAACATGGAAAAGTACCTTGTAAGACAGTATATCTTTTTTTTAAAACCATATGTCACCAAGCAAAATTTTGAGATGGATCCTCGCCATAGCAATGAATGGTAGAATACCCTAAAACAGACAAAACATGCTATTTTCACTATATTGTATTGATCAATTTTATTGAACTGAGCAAAGGTAACCCATATTTTTAATCCATTTTTTCATTCTTGTAATATGATACAATATGCATCAAACATGTCAAAATAAAAAAAAATGACTACATGATTTAATTTTGAGTAATCTTAGAGGAAATATGAATAATATAGTAGGGATTATGATTATTGCATATTAAAATGTTGGTTTTGTATCTGATAAAATACTAAACTACATTAATGTGCAACTGCTAAATATATCACACATCAGTGTCGTTCATAATTCATTGGCAATTACATACTAATTTGTATGTTATTTTTAGTTTATGAATGGTTATTTTGTAGGTTACAGAATTGAAGAAGAAAAGCTGATTACTTCTGCTTTCAAGAAAGAGTGGATACTCATAAGGAAAAGTGATGAGAAAGAGTTTTGTGAATTTCAATCAGACCCCCTCAGAGACTTTGCAGTTGTACCAAGTCATCGGCCATTGCCACCATTGCTGAAAGCTATGGTTTTGCAACAGTATGATAATCGTAATATTGATACGGATGAAGAACCAATGTTGAAACTAGTTGTTGAGAAAGGACCTGAGACTAGATTGCTGCAACCAGAAGACGTGGAAAGATTAAAGCAAACTACTTCCTAAAGCAATGTAGTTTGTGATTTGTTTGATAACAAAATACTACTCTTAGTCTTATGTACAACTCTGAAATATATAATGATTTTCACAGTACATGCGTTCATGCACAGTTCCTTAGCATGGGCTAACGTTTTTATACTAAGAAATTGAGCATGAACGCTTAGTACGTATTAAGAAATAACTACACCTAGTTACATCTAAGCAGCTTTAAGACATGGTTCTGGCCTAAAATATAGACTAATGAAGTTTGTGCGCCCTCTAAAATGACCTTTGGCAACAAAATACCATTGGGGAGATTTACTATATTCGTTCTGGTATATCATTTTGTACATGGTGACCATCAAAACCAATTTGTTCTCAAGAAAAACAAAAAAATGCTGTCAGTGAGATTCACTATTGTATAGTACAACCATGAAACTAAAATGTGTACCTCCCTGGTGACTACTACGAATTAAAAATATTTGCATTATTCACATTTTTGATAAGTTTGATGCATCCTTTTGTCCGTATTAACTATTGTCTCCAGCATGTAAACGCAACTGAGTCTAGCCGATATACAAACACATGTACTAGAGTGGAACCTAAACGTAATTATCATCAGATTCATGTAATTAATTAGCTGTATTGCTTTTACATTTGTTCTGATTTGTTAAATCAGTTTATGGTAACTTCAGTATGCTGACCTTTGTTATCCCATATATCCATTGTAATGTCAGATTTACATTTGCATGCGAGTGAAACAAGTTGTGTTTCTGTATTACAGAATGTATGCTCCATTTATTTGCAGACTATTTGCAGGTTTCGTGTATACGTGATATGTTTAAGTCAATAACGCTGCAGGCTCATTCAAAGTGTGCATGACATACATCGTTCAGTATTGAATGTTTATCCAAATTCCTAAGTTAAATGTTTAACTGAAAACATGTGGTGGTAATATCAAATGGATTAATTGAAGAATAATTTTGGTTGTTACGAACAGGCATGACTAGTATATGACTTATTCTGGCAAAAGTACCCTGTGAAAATATTTCAGTTAAAACATACATTATAAACATGGCCAAATGAGAGATGAGGTCAAATCAAGAGGTCATTTGATGAGGTCAAATCTACAGATCATTTGATGAGGTCAAATCTACAGATCATTTGATGAGGTCAAATCAAGAGATCATTTGATGAGGTCAAAACTAGAGATCATTTGAT